TACCATCACCCCCAGCTCCTCCTCCCACTGTCATTTCTGACCCTACTACCAATCAGCCACACCAGCCTACTTCCTCTCCTGTCCCTACACCTATTTCATCCCCTTCACATTCCCCCGCTCCCTCTTCCCTCACCCCACCACCACCCCAATTGCCTTTGAGAAAATCAGACAGAGTCATCAAACCACCTACCCGTTTTGTCAAGGACTACCACTGCTACCTGGCCAATCAATCTAGCACTGCCAGTTCCTCAAATTTGCATCAGATTCAAGACAACATGTTTGCTCTATCATCCCTGGTGTCCTATGACAGACTCTCTCCTCACTATAAACAATTTGTCCTCAACATTTCCTCTCATCATGACCCTGACACATACAGGGAAGCTTCTAAGTCTGCAGCATGAAATCAAGGCTTTAATTCAGAATCATACATGGGATGTAGTTGAACTACCTCCAGCCAAGAAACCTATTGGTAACAAATGGGTCTACAAGACCAAATTTGAATAAGATGGGAGCCTAGACAGATTAAGAGCTAGGCTAGTGGCCAAAGGAAACACTCAACAGGAGGGAGTGGATTATCAGTACACTTTTGCTCCTGTGGTTAAAATGACAACAGTCAGAACCTTTCTTGTTATTGCTGCTTCTCGTAATTGGCATATTCACCAGCTGGACGTGAATAATGTTTTCCTCCATGGAGATCTCCATGAGGAAGTTTACATGACTCTTCCAAAAGGGTATGAAGCCCCTAGTGGTTTCAAGAACCCTGTTTGCAGATTGAGAAAGTCACTTTATGGGTTGAAGCAAGCTTCTCGCCAATGGTTCTCTAAGCTTACAGATAAGATTCAACTCTTAGGCTACATCCAAAGCATGGCAGACCACTCTTTATTCTACAAAGTCACTGATTCATCATACACTTGCATTCTCATTTATGTTGATGACCTGTTGGTTGGTGGTAATGACCACGATGAGATAACACACTTGAAACAGTTTCTCCATCAGGAGTTCAGCATCAAGGACTTGGGAACTTTAAGATTTTTCTTAGGGATTGAAGAGGCCAGAAACAACAAAGGCATCCATTTGTCTCACAGGAAATATACTTTGGAGATCATTGAAGAAGCTGGTCTACTTGATTCCAAAACAGTTATAACCCCTATGGATTATAAAGCTCATCTATCTAGTGCAATGGAAACACCTTATGAAGATCCAGAACATTACAGGACACTTGTTGGTAAGTTGATCTATCTCACAACCACTAGACCTTATATCAGCTATGCTACCCAGGAATTGAGTCAATTCATGTCCAATCCCAGTACATCGCATTACAAAGCAGTTGTTCGCATTCTGAGCTACTTGAAGACTTCCCCTGCTACAGCCATATTCTTTCCCTCTACTGGTTCATTCCAATTGAAAGCATTTACTGATTCTGACTGGGCAGCGTGTGTCGATACAAGAAGATCAATTACAGGCTACTGTGTTTACCTTGGGGATTCTCTCATCTCATGGAAGAGTAAGAAGCAACAGACTGTCTCCCGCTCCTCGTGTGAAGCAGAATATCGAGCTTTGGCCTATACCACTTGTGAGCTGCAATGGTTACTCTATCTGCTCCGCGACTTCCAGGTTCCTCATACCCAGCCAGCCACTCTGTTTTGCGACAACCAGAGTGCGATTTATATCGCCAACAACCCAACTTTTCCCGAACGGACGAAACATATAGTACTCGATTGCCATCTAGTTCGTGAAAAGCTTCAATCTGGCATCATCAAATTGCTTCATGTCTCTTCGATACATCAGTTAGCTGATCTCTTCACCAAGCCACTGTCGCCGGGGCCATTTCATCAGCTATTCTCCAAACTTGGTGTTCACAATTTGTGCCCACCAGCTTGCGGGGGGTAACAGACAACTCCAATTGAAAATCTTCCCCCTTTTCAATTTCAACGGTCAACTGGATTGAGAAGAAGAAGAAGTGAGCAGCGACATCGTTTCCAGTTTCTTTACTTACCTTCTTAAAACGTTATTGTTCTTCTTTCCCGTTTTTGTCTTCGTTTCTTTTCTGCCGTTTCTGTCTTTACTTTCTGCACAAGTGTACTTTGTTTCCAGATCAAGCTACCAAACAAACTGTAAGGAGCTGGTTTGTCTTCTTTCCTTGTTCTGCCAATAAAGGCTTGAGATGAATAAAAGAGAACTCAGGTTTTAGGGTTTCCATATCATAGTTGTTGTTAGTATCAGTTGTACAATTTTGTATCTGCATCCATGAAAATGTATCCATCCAAATTGCCAAAAAAAAGGAGATCTGGGAAAATCTGCTCTTTTCGAAGTGAAGAAATATATATATATCAAAGAAGAGTCCATCAATGAGGAAAGAAAATAAACAGAGAGAAGAAGGAAAAGCATAATCGGGGAAGAAAAACCCTCACAAACTATATCCCACCGCGAATGCCTTTGCTACCGCCCAGCAAACAAATTTGTGAAATAACACTAACCCGAAAATCCATCTCAATCGCCAGAGGTTGGTCAACATCTCTAAACCGGAGACAATACGTCCTACAAAATCACCCATTTGATTTGAGAGAGGAGCTGAGCTTGTTCGTTTCTTAGATCATGGGAAAGGATTTCAGCTTCAGAAGACCTAGCCGATCTCGGTTAGCATTTGTAAGATCTTGTAGTCTTGTTCATAACTTGCATTCCATCTTTGCGCTTCACTTTAAATGATTTTTCTTGTTTATGCAAACATCAGTTTGCACCGCCACTCTACTGTAGATGTAGGCGAGGAAGTGTGATACTCAATTTACTTATAGTCTAGGGGGTTTTGTTCAAGGTTACAAGGGTTTTGAGGAGTTCTCATCGGCTCGACACTAGAGATGCATTGCTTAATGTGGCCAAGAGGCTTGCTACCCATTTGTCAAATTATTATATTTTCAGGAGAGTTGTATAATCTTATTCTTGTTTACGATCTACTAGTTCATTAACAATGTTATAATAATACAATACCGTTTAACTCGGTAAAGTGTGAACCTTTCATTATGCTAGTTCATATTTCGGTTCAATTTTGAAAACATTGTTTAAACTATTAACCTTAAAGAGAGATAGCTACTTTTTGTATATTGGTACGTAGCGGTTGGTATTGGGAACGTCGTCTTCAGTTCTTTGATTCATTCGGTGGCGCGAAATCCATCATTAGCTAAGAAATTATTTGGTTCTAAACAAGTTTGCATGTGGGCGTCGAGTAAGAGCATCTGGGAATTGATCTTTTTTGGTGTACTCCTCGAGTATATGATACTCCAAGTGCTTCTATAATATCTCTATCTAGACCATTAATCAAACCTAGAATTGGGCAAGCACAACAAAGTACATATGACGACCAAATCTCTTGACGTATGATGTACACTAGTGGTTAATTACCATTATTTTAGTGCCTTTTGTTTTGTCCCCAAAATTTGAGAAACAGATTGGTGATAGTACTCCATGTTTGTAAAGAAGTCGCATTTGCATATCTGTCCATCAGATTGCCCCATGCCTAGCTTGTACCTGAGTGGAGAACATCATCCACAGCAATAGCAAATGGTGGGGATCAACATCCAAGACCAAGTAGCCAACCCCCATGGGTCTCTATTGTCTAAAAGTTGGGAAAAGAGGGACTTATAGATTCCATTTCTAGGTTATCAAGTAGGGCTCTTTGGGAAAATTGCTGAAGAGAGGAAGATTTAGAGTAGCAAGCTATATATGAACTCGATAGAGACACTGATTAGACAAAGCATAGTTTCAAAAGTGAGAGAGCCCACTGGGAATATATGTTGGGGGCAGGCTTAGGCCAGGCTTCTGTTGTGCATCCACTTTGTTATCATGATGAACTCAAAGTGAAGAACAATGGCACATGGTGTGGAGCAGAGACCAATAATTGGATGTAATCTTAAGGTACAGGGTGCTACTTTGGATGTTGTGAAGCTGCCAACACTGCTTTTATTATTTCGTGCGGAAAGATAGATACAACGATCGGCAAAAAAGTAATGCAAATTCATCCAGTGTTTTCAGCTTTCATGTCAGTTACATATCGTTATTAGTGAAATTTATTATTGAACTTCTCTCAAAACTCGACTTATTGAGACTAACTGGTTTTTGACATGGTATCAAAGTTTTTATGAGTTGACTGGCTTTCGTTTGGAGGATGTGTTAGCTGAGTGACATAAGATCCATTGTCGCTCTCCCAACAACTCGAGTTGTCAGGGACTAAATAACGGGTGTTTGACAATCGTGTATATATGGTATCAAAATACCAAGTGTAATTTGGACTTTGGAGACAATTTATCCAGTTAATTGTTTACCCCTGGGATCCACTCCAACTGCAACTAGGCATGCAACTCGACATGATTGTTGTTTCCTGGCTCGCACATAATTGCAAGGCAGGTCGTCTCTGAAATATGCCGTAAGCAGCAATCCAAAGGGAAGGCGTTTCCCGTTGGTAGTGTTCTCAGCAAATCCGCTCATGTATGTACTTGTTATTATGTACTAGAATCAATACCCACGGCTACGCCGCGGGAAATATATTGATGTCTACGTGGGGAATATTTAGCTAATATAATGTTTAGATGTTTAGCTAATAACATGTCTAGTCGTATCTTTTAAAAAAAAAATTACAGAATCAAAACAGTATATTTCATTCGTGCATTTGCGTGCTTGGTATACAAATATGATATCTTATATGTTTTATAAAATAACTTATTGGGCAAGATGAATTTAATGAGCGAGCATTCACATTAGAATTGTAATTTAAATTGCATTATCATATGACATTCATTTGCAATTGTATTGATGTACATGACAATTGCATCTTCGTAAGCTTGTATGTAATCCAATCAAAAATTGAAAGCCATATCATCTTTTTTATTATTATATTATTTCTGATTTTCCTTTTTAATTTTTTATATTTTTATAATTACATTCAATAGCCAATTGCAATTGCAAGTTAATTGCATTGATGTGGTGCAATAAAAGTAATATAAGTTTTTTTTATCTTAGTGATATCAATAGAGGAAAATAGTTAAACTTACAATTCTACCTAGGACCCCTAAAAGAATCTAAGGAAGCCACCCAAAAAAGTAATATAAGTTGGATCACAAAGAAATTTAAATGACAATAAAGAACACAAATACAATTACATATATAATTGCATTGATGTAGATGCTCTAACTATTCTTTACAAATGGTAAGATTATAACACACTGGACCATGTTGGGTGAAATTATCTTAAGAAGTCAATTGCTTCTAGTTCTTTGCTACTCCATCATCCGGTTTCTCCACGTTGACTTCTTGCAAAGGATAAACAAACCTAAAGCCAGTTGAACTAAAAGAAATCAGATTGCAGAATGTTATAAACGCTTATACTGACCAGAACCATAATAAGTACGATGAAAACCAACACTTACCAAATTTGTATTCTCCGAGAAGAGGAGCATTCTCAGCAAAGAAAGTTTTTTTTCCTACATAACCACAGGAGAAGCTCATTATAGTTGATATATTTGACTTTCTAACCAGAGCAAAAAAAGCAAGCTAACTAACTGATAATTTAGTGCAAATTCTTTGTTGATATGCATCTTATTAAAGAACCACGTAAAATTTCTATTATTTTCTAACATACACCGTTCCTTACATATATAGTACTTTCCCTTTCTCCATCCCTAAGTCTTAAAGCACTTGAGCACTTGTTGAGGAAGGCAACTCTCAGTCTCTCACTGTCTCTGTTCTAGTGTAATATATTAACCCCTTTGCTTTGTTGTTGCTGGTTGTTGAATCACTTGAGGAAACACTATCACTGCCTTCACAATCTCAACCCCACCTCCAATTACTGAACAAAGCGAGAGGGTTTCAGAATTATTATTTATTGGCAAAAAGGCAAACAAATCGAATGACTTGCATATTGCAAGACCCAAATCGGTGTTGTCATATTTTCGAGCATGATCTGTGCTGACTTGCATATACATTTTGAAGAGATTTGACAAAGCATTCTCTCTGAAAGCCAAAAAACAAACCTAAGTGTCATTAACGATTTTATAATGCATGTGAATCTTGGATCACGAACAAAACCTAGGGAGGAAAGCTTGATCAACCATTAACTTCTGGTGATTTCTTCTGCTCTTTTGCAGCCTGGGTCTGATACTATATAAAAGTCTATTCCTACCTTCCCTTTTTTGTTGAACTTAACCACATGGCTACAACGCAACCGGTGAAAGAAATCATGACAGAGATCAACAATTTCACTTGCAGAAGGAAATAGAGTACCTGATCAGGTTGGTGAGTATTTGTCTAATCCTTAGTACATCTACAGTGACCTAGAAAATTTCAACCAGAAAATATGGCTCTTGGCAGCTGAAATTTTTCCTATATGGAGTTATGAAAACAGTTAAATCATGTCTCACCTCCATTGCAACGTCATCTGCTATGGTTCCTTCCAGGATTAGAACTTTCTGCAATCAAGAAGCAGCTGTCTGCAAGACATGCTTGACCAGTGACCACTTCTCTGGGCCGGAATTGGGTGGCTTCCAACTTTAGGCGATAGATACATTAGATTCTTCTGCAGGTGTACTTGGGCTACACATAGTTAAGATCAAGACAAATAAGAAATGAAATAAATCATGAGCACCCAACACCAACTGGTCATGCAAAGACAATAAACCGCATTAACATAAGAACTCAGGATCATGAAACACCATTTGTTTGTTGTAAGGACTCGTTTTCCAAGCAAAAGTAATACACCACCAGGTAATGAAAGCAATGAAAAATTCTAAAAAATAACAAACCTGTCCAAAGCCTTCTGCAAGGGTACTGAAGCAAAAAAATTGGAAGGAAGACTCGTACATGCTTTCCATGTATAAAACCTTTGGTAGTCGTATAATTTGTCACTAAAATCTTCACTGTGTCTTCCTGGAAAAGCAATCACCAGTGAGTTTGTGCGACCATAAACCTCTGTTAGAGAGCCCCATGTACTCTTTGCTGAAATAAATCAATATTCCACAAACCAGTCCAAGAAGGTAGAAGACAACATGAGTTTCTATAGAAGCAAAATACAAAAAGGCAAGTATCTTGGTGGTAACGATTCAGTTAAACATATTAACAAAAGGCTTAAGCGAGAGGTACCAGTTGAAAATTGGACAGATAGAGCCATAGAGACCTTCCATCTTTTGTATGCACGTTACCTTTTTGGCACCCATGTAGTCTGCAACTTCCAGAGCTGTCGCATTTGAATGAATTCTTTTGTTGCTGATGCAAAATAGAAAGGCAAGAAGTGGGTTCTGCCATCAGTAAGAAACAGTAACAAAGAAGGACATTACGACTATTTATACACCAGCGGCCAACATCTACATCAAAGGACTTCAAACGTAACGAAAGGAGAAGACTTGCTGCTTCCTCTTACGTCGCGATATGAGGATTGACTGCTGGCCGCTGCTGCTTCCTCTTACGTCGCAATATGAGGATTGACTGCTGGCCGCTGCTGCTTCCTTTTCCGTCGCGATTGTGCTCTCCTGGAAGGCCTGAAGCACCACATTCAGAAATCCAAATTAAAAAGCTGAAAATCCTCCAAGAAGAACGCTAGCAAAAACACATACCCCTGCATCCGTCGCCACCATCGTGGTCAGCTCCTTCTTCGAACGCCATATTCCTGCCGTCGTCGTGTCATTGTTTTCGTTTGGCATCTAAGAAACCATTTTTCCCAAACTTGGATGGAGGTGGCCGATGGATTTCTGAGGAATTTTTCGGAGCTGTGTTCGGGAAAATAGGTAAGAAAGGGATGAGAGGCAAGGTGGTCGCTCTCGTTCAGGCTTTCTGTCTCACAGAGGCCGCAGTCAGGGAAATTTTAGAGTTTGCAATGCAAGAGAGAAGGGGATTGTGGAGAGGGAAGCATTTATCTCCCACCAAGTACAATCGCAATCAATCGGTGGAGAGAGGACAATATTGTAGAAGCAGAAGGAAGGTAGCGTGGTGAAGCAATCAAGCATGGATTGGATGTACTGGAAAGCGAACCGAAGCGGCAAACTGACAGGTAAGACGTGCCCTTTCGGATTTGCGGATTCAAAAGTGAAAGCATGGGCCTAGTGTACTGAAACATGATGGAGTGGAAAGGGGAAGGTCTGTTCGGCCAAGTCGGTCAGCTATTCCAGAAGCAAGCGGAGGAGGTTGTTGATGGGTGAAGCCAGAGGGAACGGTAAGAGAGGTGGAGAGAAAACGACAAATATTGAAACAGTAACAATTTTTTGGGTGAATAAAGCGTACCCAGCTTTTATATATAGAAGAATTGTTTGCTTTCTTTGGACGTTGGAATTGTTGTACATGTTGGTCAGTTTTTATTTATTTATAAATGGATGTCAAATAAGAATTCCAGCTTCCACTCAAAATGAATCGAGGCTTGGAAATTCCGATAGAATCATACAGAATTCAAAGACCCATAGTAGGATAAGTTACGGGAAAACAACGGAAATTAAAGTCCAAACAGTGACCTCAAACACTGTTAAATAACGTAGCGTGATCTCGAGTCAGACCACTAGACATCATGTGGACTAAAAATAGGATAGACAGAGTCGTTGAAGTTGAAAGTCACCCACTCTGAAAGAGGTGAGACTTCTAGGGGTTGATTAGTTTTCTTTAACTGGTTATGAGCTCATTATTTATATATATCCCAATGCCGTTAGAATGGTCGGTAGAAAATCAATGTTCATTATTAACTGTGATGATTAGTATGCATGGTATATTGAAATGATACGATATGATTTCTCTTCTAGGATTGCTCTCAGTTTCAAGGTTTGAAATTTTTGAATCCTCCCAGGCTCCCACCCCTCCCCTCGAGTAGGAGATATTGCAATGCTCAAATGTCATAAGACTAATCAAAATTAAGGGGTAAATGCCACATTTGGTCACTAAATTACTAAATCGTGTCATGTTTAATCACTAGAAAATTTTAATATCAATTTTGGTCACTCGAATTACTGGAACATGTCACATTTAGTCACTCTCCCGTTAGCCTCCGTCCAACTCCAGTCACTAGAATTACTAAAACATGTGACATTTAGTCACTCGAATTACTGAAACATGTCACATTTAGTCACTCTCCCATTAGTTTCCGTCTAATTCCATTAATGAAGTTGGACGGAAACTAACGGGAGAGTGACTAAATGTGACATGTTCTAGTAATTCGAGTGACCAAAATTGATATTAAATTTTTCTAGTGACTAAACATGACACGATTTAGTAATCTCAGTGATCAAATGTAGCATTTATCCCAAAATTATGACAATAGGTTAGGGCTTGTTCGAAACCTTGGATCAAGAAATGATGAATAAAAAAAATTATACGTTCGAATTATGTGCATTTTGCAAATGAGCATTTTGTAAAAAAAATGGACAATATATCTTAAATAACATATGTATTCCACAAATACATTGTAAAATCTTAACATTTTTTCAACAAGATATATATTATTCGTTTTGGATCTAGACTCATACAGTCTTCCACAGTGAGCATGTTTAACTTCATAGTTCTTACAAGAACTCATTCATTTCACCCCAAAATGCATTATGTTAGTTAAGGTCGGTTTCTACTTATGAATCATGGATTTCTTCCGTGCCTTTGTGGAATTCGCCTAAAGTGTTACATACATCCCCCTTTGGGACTCAACGTCCTCATTAAGGTTTGCCCTGCTACCGTTCACGAGGGATGCATAGAGGCTCTGATACCACTATGTAACATCTCGAACTTTTTCCTGACAAGATATTGTCTTTGTTAGATCTAGACCCGCACGGTTTTTGCCTCGGAGTGCATGTCAATGTGACTTTCCATAAAATCATCCATCCTTGCAATGCTCCACTGTGACCACATTTAATTTCAGAGTTATTACAAAAACTCGATCATTTCACTGTAAAATGCGTCTTGTCTTATCAATTAAGATCAATTTCTTACTTATAAATCATGAATCTCTCTTTCTTTTGTCAAGATCCATTACATACATCATCCGACATTCAAGGTTACAAACGAACTCTAAGTTGAATTTTTTTTTACCATCTAGGTTAAAGTTTTAAAGCCTCCTCCGCTAGCTACACCTTTTCTTGTATATTAACCTTAAAAGCAGTTAGTAAAGCTGCATATATCATAAAAGTGACTTCTCTTGTGGGTGATCATTTTATTCTTCTGGTTAAAACAAAAGCCGTTTGCTAAAAGTGCAAAGTGAACAGAAGTGAATGATAAACAGAGGCTGCAGTTGAAAGAATGGTAGATGACACACAAACCCTTCTCGTCCTTTTTTTGTTAATAAATTTGACAATCAACACCTTTACCCTATTGAAAATCATGCACAATACAAGAAAATTGGTAGAGTTTGTTTGCTTCAGCTTTTTGGATGAGTAATTTGATACTAAATAATTCAATTGAGTAAATTGGTAGGAATTTTGATTCCAACAGAAAAGAAATTACTTAATTATTGAGTAATAAATGACTCATTTGTCAAAGGTAAATACAATTTATTAGTCAAACCTTTCAAAAAATTAAATTATTAGCCCAATCTCTTAAAATACAAACCATTAGCCAAATCTTTTGTAATGCATCAAAATTGTAGTCATTTTTCTATTACCGTTAGTAATTTTGTAACTTTTTTCTTAGTGAAAATACTAAAATTTTAGAATGTTGACTTCCACGTGTCTCTTCCAAGTCAGTATCACGATGCCAAGTAAATATTACTAATAAAATGACTAACGAGAAATTAACATTTGACTAATATTTGGTATTTTGAAATATTTGGCTAATAATTTAAAAAGTTTGAAAGATTTCGTTAATAAATTGTATTTACCCTAAATCCAATACTAACTATTTCTATATTGGTTTTAAAATTATCTACTATGAAACACCTACCTACTCGCATAATCGATCTCCTACTTCACGATGGTATATCAACCTAATTGAATATTCTCTCTTATAGATCAAAGCATAAATCAATAATCTCGATGAAAGAAGAACTTTTCCATAAAACATGTATAGCTTGGATATGAACTCAAGTTTATCAAGTAAGAGTACTCATACAATCATCAAATCAAACAAAACATGACTATGGTTACTTTATAGGGAGGAGAGAGAATACATAAATTAGATCTTGTTCTTCAATCCTTCCAACCTTTGTTCCTCGAGCTCTAATTGTAAAGAAATCATTCAATTTTTCTCCAAGATCGCCCCTGGATTGCTTTCTGTGTCTAGCGTTCATCACTTGTGTGTTTGGGATCCCAAAATCCTGCTCTCCATTCCCAGAATCGCAGAAACCCTTTCATATCAGAAGTGTGAAAATCACTGTAAAAAATTCCGACCGTGATTTTTGTCATTATGCCTATGACTTTCCAAAACACAACATATGATCGTAAAAAGAATGTCATATATCACCGCCCTTGATTTTGCTTGTTAAGCCTATGACTTTTTGGCAGAACCTCTAAAATGGTTGCACAGGTTGAAATTTGATTCTCACGACCGTGATTCTTATGGCCCTGGCCATGAGCATCATTGTTGGCCTTCTTTTACTCCTTTTTGGCCTCTAAATGCTCTAAAACTCGCTTCCGGCGCTTCACCATACTCTAGGACTTGAAATATGACATAAGAACACAACCTAGCTAGTGGAAATCTAACATGGAAAACACTATTTTCAAATCAACCTAGCTACTTGATATTGTAGGGCTAATACCGCTACAACACCCGAATTATCGAAGAAATGCCACCGGTGTCCTATTCTTTTCAATATTCCATTTCTATCCTGAACTATGATACTTTGTGTCATTTGTATTCTGGCGATTTCGTTGACCATTATCTCTAACGGTTGACCTGACGGTGGTCAAAGAGATGTTGACTTTTGCTGACAAGGAAGGAAACGTGGCATCCACGTAGATGCCACATCATACCACATATACTTTTTAATTCAAAATCAAATTAAAATACAAAATAATTATATAAAAAATTATTGTATACCCACTGTCGCCTTCAACCCACTCCTCACCCTACCCCCCGCCCTCAATTCTAGCCATCGTCGCCGCCTTCAAATCCCTTCCGCGAATCAGCATCTATGGCAACGATATCTCGCCGCAGCCTTCCCCCACGACAAGCTGCTCTTCCAGCGACCTCGCTTCCTCAACCCTCTCCATCTGGAAGACGATGAAGCTCCGATTCCGATACAGCTAGTGGAATAGCTTCGGCGGCCGAAAGAAGCAGTAGGCGGAGATGAGAGAGGAGAGAGGGACGATGATGAACAACAGAGGAACAGAGTCGCCCCTTCAGCTCTCTATCACTCTCTCTGGCTCCTCTCCAATCTTCGACCTTAAATCCTCCGCCGCAGTTGTTGCGGAATCCCTCCTCTGCAATTATCCCCTTCACAATGATGCCACAGCAGTTGAGAGTTCTTGAATCTGAATCGATGACGTTGAAGGAGAAGGAGAAGGAGAAGGCGACGGTGGCTGTGGAAGCTATCACTACCGATTCAGAAAACGATTGGGCTATTGCTACCTACGGCGTTGTGGTGGTGTTGATTGAGGCATGCCGGTCGGGAGATTTGGCTACGCAACCACTCCCGCCTTTCCTCTTCCCTTGACTCGGAAATTGAATCTTACCGTCACCGCTCGAACTGTCGGCGGATCTGGATTCGCAATAAGGGAAGTCGTCGATTTGGGTCCCCTTTCCCTTATTTTCTTGTCCTCTGTTTTGGTCGAACTAATCGTTCAGGGGAAACTTGGAGGTCTGTAGATCTTCCGTCTCCAGCTCCTCGGAACCCTAGTTTCCTCTTTTTTTGCTTTCGTGTCTGTATGTGAAGCTGTGGTCATGAGTTAGGAATTGCGTTTTAGTTGATTGATTCTCAGTTTGCAGCTTGCTGAACATTTTGCCTGATTAAATAACAATATGATCGCGTTCGTCTCCTGCTTCCTTTGGTTTGTTTCCATGGGAGGGATTGCTGTGAAATTGTATTTGGCGGAATTGGGGAAGAGGGGATTAGTTGGACGAGGGGTCTGTGAAAAGAGTTTTTTTTAATTTTATTAATTTAGATGGAAAATAAATATTAAAAATTACACGTCAGATGCCACATCAG